ACTCAGCTAGGCTGTTATTTGCAACAAAAACATACTTAATACAGAATTTGGTTACATAGGAAGTGGGGTCTGCAAGAAGCAAAAATGTGACAATGGCAAAGTGAAGATGAATTGAGTGATGATTCCCACTACTGTACTCCAAGCTCAGATGACCCTGACCAAATTACCTTATATATTGATACTGAAGGTAGACCTATAAAAGTTCCAAACCCCTTTCTTCCCTCTCCAACTATGTAACAAAAACTTGCCACAAAAATATTCATCACCAGTAATAAAAACGGATATCCTTAGCTACTTTTGATCGTAAGTGTTGTACCTAGAATTTTACCAAGTATTTTTATAGAATTGGATTTTGGAAATAACTAAAACAATCACATAGAAGAGTTAAAACATTTTTAAGTGATTCTAACATCATGAATTATACTGCAAAATAAATGGGGAAGTAGCTGTTAGAATGAAAGTTTGCAAATTTAATTTTACATAAGGGATTGTCTTATTACTTTTATTTCTGAAGGTATTTGCTTATGTATTTAAGCTGGGGATAGTGGACTTACCTAGCATTTGTGAGACCCTGGGTTCAATCCCAGCATTACAAAAATGTCTTAAAATGTCTTAAATATTTAGAAGTGACTGGAAGACAATGTATACATGGTAAACCAATGGAAGGTCCCAAAATATAAATTTTAAAATTATCTCCAGGAATGGTTACAAAACAAGAAGCAGGTGTGGTTGTGAAAGCTTGTAATCCCAGCACTCAGAAGGCTGATGCAGGAGGATCACTGAGTTTGAGGCCAGACTGTACTACATTATTGAGTTCAAGGCCAACGTGAACTACACAGCAAGACCCTTATTTGAAAAACTAAACAAACTAAATAAACAAGACTAGAAAATTCTTTTAAAAAAGGAAAAAAAATGCAAAAAGCATAAACCAATTACCCAATTGTGGTATACTAAAGTTTGAGCCAGAATTAAAATATTAAAAAACATTATATAAATAGAACACTTAAATGGTTAAAACTTTATGTGCTGAATAATATAGACAATATATGACAAACACAATTAAGAGACATAAGAAAAAAACACCTAATAGTACTAAGATTTTATTTTACCTTTCTCACTCCTTGACATAGAAATAAGGGCAGAGGAAATAAGTATATAGGGAATCTGACCAGTGTTTAGTATTGTTTCATGTGTTTTTGAGAAATTATACTGTAGTACACTCTGGCACCCAGGAAATACTTAACAAAACAGTTTTGCTTAGGTAAAAGTGAAGTCCCTAAAAATTCTCCAAAGCAGGCTACACACTAATCATTAGCAAATATTAGCAAAAAACTTAAAAAATGCCCAAACACCAGGGTATTTAAATACTATCTTAACTCTTGAGTCATAAGAACAAATTTGCAGCCACTAAATATTCAGAAAATAATGGAAATACAATATTCTTATCCTACAGAATCAAGCCAAAGAAATAATCAGATCCATAGCATTAAAATGCTTTCCTTTCAGAATGGAAACAAAGTTAAACAGATCAACTTTTCAACTGAAGAAATAAAGAATGAATCAGAAACAAAATGGTGACATAAATTTAAAAATAAACTACAAATTATTTCCTGGTAGTGAAAAGAATGGAGGTAGACTCAAAAAAATCCTAGATGGGCTAATCAAGAAAAAGAATTACCAGATGAACTAGTCATATTGAGCCAGGATTGCTTGAGCCCAGAAGTTGAATAAAGGCCAGCCTGGAAAACACAATTCAGACTGGCAAATGTACAAAAACAAGGGAAAAAAAGTACAAAAAGCTAAGAGATGATTTATGCATTTAAAATATTGAGGTTATTATGTACACCCACGTTAAAAAATATTTTAAATATAAGGCAAAATTGAATTTCCAGAAAAAGGAAAATCACCAAGATTTACTTATGAAACAAAGCCATACAGAGATCAAAAACACATAAGGAAATAGAAAAGATGTGGACAAATTATCTTTGAGAAAGTAACAATGAGTATCTCATTATAAGTAAATAGCTTCAACTTCAAAAAAGTTAATCCCTATTAGGGACACATAAACTACTCTAAATAAGAGTTTTGTAGGTTGTTCTGCCAATCCATCATGACCTGAAAATGAAAATCAGGCTAATCTCATAAATACACATAGACAGAAAATCATAAATACATGGCAAGTTAATGGACCACAGCAACACTTTAATAGATGTTTTAGCTTGGATTTTTTTTTTTTTTTTTTTTTTTTTTTTTTTTTTGTTTTTTTTTTTTTTTTTTTTTTTTTTTTTTGGTACGGGGGAATTGAACTTGGGTCCTTGCACTTGCAAGGCAGGCCATGGATCCACTGAGTTAAATCCCCAGCCTCTTAGCGGATGTTTTAATACTGATTCTAATAATTAGTGTCATTCATCAATAAAGGAAAAAATCCACACAAATATACTGGCATTTTTTTAAAGAAAAGTCAACATGATTCTATTAAGTAGGCGTCATGAAAAAATTTAAACAAAAGAACATTCTATTTCTAATATAGTTTAAATTATGCGGACAAGTGAAACACTAAAAATGACATTCATGAAATCAAGAATGTCCATTATGTACAACTGAAAACTATTATAAATGAATTAAGTAATGTGGCCAGTTTTTAAAAAACATAGTAGCTTTATCATTTTATGCACTGACAAACTATTACTTTTGAGGAGTCCTTATCTAAAAGCAACAAAAATGATTTTGTATTTTTAAAACTAATGCATCAAAAATATATAGAAAATTGTGCAATTTATAATAGGGAACATGGAAAGATCCTATTATTCTCTCAATGGGAAGATCCCCTAATCAAACAAACATTTGATATATTCTATTAAAACCCTAACAGGATACTTGGATAAAGTCAACTAAATGATTTTTTTAAACTCACATGAAGAAATAAACCCTCAGAAATAGAAAACGGAAAAGGAGACAAATTAAGTTTTATCTACAATTATCTGTATGTACTATTATTCTAGGAATTGGAAATACAGTGATTCAAAAATGTACACAATGTCAGGTGCACAGTAATCAAGATGCAGGTGTAGTACTTTTAAGAACAACAGATCAGGGTAGAATACAGCAGAAAATCCAAGAAAACACCCAAATAAGGTAGAGATGGCATTTTAAATATATTAACAAATGCCACTGGCATAATTAGTACAGCCATGAAGAACTGTACAGTTGGACCCATACTTCACATCTAACAAAATAACCATTCTAGAATGATTTAGAACTAATGTAGAACAGGGAATGAGTACATGGTCTTGGAGTAAACACAGCTTTTCTATAAAGACAAATCATAAAGACAAAATTAACAGAACTGACTACATATAAATTTTAAATTACCCACTAAAAAAACACAATAGACAAGCCTCTAAGTTTGTATAATTCACAAAGAGATACTACCTTCCTTACAGAAAGACCTGTTCAAAGCAATAAAGAAAAAACATATGAATAGTTAATGAACAGGAAAAAGACCCATCGAATGAAATACACATTCACTAACAATCAAATACAAATTAAAACAGAATGATTTACCATCTGTAAATAAAAAAGGGACAGAAATGTAAAGCCGGCAAACTTTTCTTTATAGCAATCTAGATTTAGCAAATGTTCTAGAAATGTATCTTTTACACCAGCAACTCTGAAAAAGTTATATGTAGCTTTTCACATTATTTGTAATAGAAAAGTTAGAAATTTTGTATCTGGCAAAAAGGAATTGTCAAACTATGGTCCTGTAAATAAATAATTTACAACCATTAAAAAAGATAATTTAATTAACTGACATGTATGTTCACAACCTATTAAGTGAAAATACTATAAAGGTGGCAGCACTTATAATCTCATCTTTAAGGAAAAAAGCCCAGATATGTATTCAGGTACATCTTTCAAAAGCAAAATATTCATGGTAGTTAATCTCTGGTTGTTCTGTTATTTCTGAATATATATATATTGATCTACAAGGGGGAAAATGAGGGTTCCAGGTTTTAAGCTTTGTCAAAAAACACGACACAGTGAGTTACAAGTGGCCATCTTTACCAGAAAAGATCAACAGTCTGTTCTGGATATAAGCAAAAAGAAAACAAGGCTTTAAAAAACATGACCTAGAATTCTGATGGCAGTTTATTTACAGACTATAAAATACAGCCTTAATAAAAAGAACATATTAATACATTAAAGTTACAAGACTTTACTAAAAGTTCTTGCTAAAGCACAACAGCTTTACAGTAACTGACAAAAAAGGGGGGATTTTCTATTTTCTACAGAGCCTCATTTGAATACAATCAGAACTACAGTTATTTTCAATAATCAAAGACTCACAAAATATTAGCCTACATAATTCAAAGGACAAGTTTTTCCATTATGATCAAAAGCTTGCTTTCTCCATCTTCAGCTAGTTCTAGTAAGTCTTTTTTTTTTTTTTTTTAGTACTGGGGATTGAACTCAGATCCTGTGCTTGCGATGCAGGCAGAAGAACCACTGAGCTAAATCCCTGGCCCACTAATAGGTCATTTTTAATAAAACAAGAAACAATGAAACAATTAAGAAAACTGTCTAGAGAAGTCTTTGGTAAATGACAAACCATTACTCCCACTAGAAAGTCACTTGAAATTATAAACTCTCAATGGACTGAAAAGCAAACTATTTTTGCAGGCCTACTGATACAAGTCCTTGTATAAATAGAAAAACAATTTCTGTGAAATTTTTTATCCAATTCTCTAGTATGTAATTAGTCTTAAACTTTTTTTTTTTTTTTTTT